GAGGGTCCGAGTCGAGTCCGAGTCCAAGTCCGAGTCACCCAAGGAGTGTCCGAGTCGAGTCCGAGTCCAAGTCCGAGTCACTTAAGAAGAGTCCGAGTCTAGTCTGAGTCAACAGTCTTCATGTATTAATCTTCTTGGATATATGTGTTGAAATGTAGCTGCTCCTCTACATTTCTTTTATCCTGTCATGTTATACTAATCTGTCTATTGAACTGCTGTGAAGCGAGTTTGGCTACAATTCTTGTAATAGGTGCTATACAAACATAAAGCTTATTACTAATATTATTATTATTATTGTAAATGACCTTTAATATGTTTAACTATATTTAAAATGAGTTACCTTTTAGAGAAGTGATTACATTTTTATGCCAATATTTTCATATGGTAAAGTTTTCGTTTGGCACTTTTATTTTGACAGTAATAAGATCGGGATTCTTATTTTGAAGGAACTTTTACCGGTTAAATCGGTTTACTGATAAAGATTAAGCCCCAGAAAGCACATGGCTAATTAGCATGCAAAATGATGTCATTCTGCATGTTAAGTAGCCATGTGCTTTCGTGTTATCGGCTGAATCTTTATGTATTGAGTTGATCACTTTACTCTGATGATATTGTTCAAGACAGCCTATGTCTGAACTCGATCCTTAGAGTAATGTGTTACGGAGCCTTCTCTTCAATATTGTTTCCACATAACGAGCATTTTTGCGCTGCTCTTTTCCAATGTGGAAGCAGAATGTGTGAAAGCATACAGCACGATGCGGGGTGTGTCTCTGGACATCTTTAGACTGGAATAGCGGGGCCCAGTCCGTGAACTCGCCTCGCAGGTGCACAAGCCAGGATAGAGGACATCAGACTCCAGAGAAAACTTGCTCGAGTCTGAGTCCAAGTCGGAGCGTCAATGTACAAGTCGAGTCCGAGTCTTCGTGGGGGGGGGGGGAATTCACGAGTCCGAGTCCAAGTCATCGTGCGCGAGAATTCACGAGTCCAAGTCCGAGTCTTCTCAATCAGTGCGCGAGTCCGAGTCGAGTCACAAGTCCGAAAATCGGCACTCGAGTCCGAGTCCAGGACTTGAGTACTCCATCTCTGCACTGCTCTGGTGAGTTCTGTGTTGTTGTTTTTTAGCAGGTTAACCAGTTGATTGCTATTCTCGTGGTGTCGCTGTGTTTACCATGAAACAGTAAGTAATATTCATTTCATTGCATTGTGTTTTTTTTCATTTGTGTATGTGTTTGTTTGGATGTTGGTATGAAATGTTTTAAAATGTAAAAGTGTCTTTGAGTAATGAGATAAAAGGAGCTATGATACATTTAAATGTGTTTATTAGTTATGTCATTATTATTACCCTACTAAATCCAGTGCCACAAGGACCTCAAATTAATATAACAGTCATTTTAAATCAAATTGAAAAGTTTAAAAATACTACAGAAAGAACTGACCTCCTCTCCCACTGGTACATTATCACAAATCCCTTCGCTCTCCCCTGCTGGTCCTGCACCCTTGCAGTTAGGGGTGTAGACAACGCTCACATGCTCAGGCAGATTGTCATGGGTCACAGTCACTTTGGAGGACAACCTCTGCCATGGAGTGCACATTCAAGAGGGTTGGATAAAACAAAAACGTGTGAGGAAAATAACTGACTGATGCACACCCAACCAAAAGGAGAATGTGATAAACGGACAACTTACTTTGTAGGCCTCCTTGATCAATTGAACCACATTTTTTGAATCTGATGACAGAACTCCCACCTCTGATTTCGGAATCAATTTAGTGAGTTGCTGGGATAAAAAACAAGGTTAAATTAAAAACAATTAGCATAAGAATGAAATGTGTGAACATGAATAAATAAAATGAGGTACAAAAACAAAAGGTACATTTATTTTACCTTGTACACATCCTCCACATTTTTTGTCACTGCAAATATCGGCTGAATATTGTTTTTTTCCAACTGAATGGCTAGTTGTCCAACAGATGGGTAGTCCTGCACACAACCATCCAAGAAATCAGTGACATTTTGTAAACCTTATGTTACACACCTTACATAACTATTTAATGTGCTAAATCTTGGTAACCATGCCACTGCAACAAATTAATTCAGAAATCAGAATCAGAAATCCTTTATCAGTCCCACATCGGGGACATTTACATTGTTACAGCAAAAGTGGCATGGCAGGTACAAAAAAGGCATTTGCTAATGTGATTCCATACCATTTCATTGCTTTTGGTGTACAAGCTCCTTTCTATGTGGCACTTTTCATCATTGGGTTCCAGTATGCCAGCTAATTTTCCATCTCCGGCCATGTGGAATCCGGCATCAGTGGTCAGCACAATCAGCCGAGTGCTGCTGTTCCTCCAACCTATTCTTTCCTAAACAACAATACATGCGTATGGGACAATTTAAGTAAGAACAATTTAAAGGCCCATTTAATTGAAATTTGAATTTTTCGCTTTAAGAAAACCCTGTGATCTCCCATATCAGCCTCCTACAAAGTACATTTAAACCCAAGTAAGATGCATTGTGAAAAACATGTGGGAGTAACTACAATGAGGATGTTGTAATGCTTCTGGTCCTAGGTTTAGGATACCAGAACAAGATTGTGTATTTAGTTTGGATAGAAAACATTTTTTTGACATTGTGATTGTGTTAAAGACTAAATGAAATGATGGGGATGGTAAGCTTTTGTTGGGCTGCATTTTATATCTTGATATATGAACCATCTAGATGATGGGATAAATGTACAAATTATGTGATCTACTCTTCCTACCTCAAAGGGCATTATGTACTGCTCTGATAGGCTCCTCCTTTGTACATAAACAGAATACTTTCTCCTGTCAACTCTCTTTTATGTCTATACTTGCTTCCTCAGATCACAGGCCCTTTGATGTTAGAAAAAATAGCATCAAGCCTAATTTTACATGTCAGGACACATGAAGTATATTTTGAAGTTTTGACAATGTCATTATGTCTACTTCAGAATTCAGTTGCAATTCATAGTGAGTACGGCTATTTCACTGCTTGAAAGCATAGACCCTGAAACATTTTAAATTTGATATTTTACTTCTACTTGAAACGGCCGAAGAGTTTTTTCTTGTTTACTGTTAATCCTTTTCTAATTATGAACCTGTTCTTGCTCTCCTTGTCTAACTCACAGTTCATCCTTATTTGGTAGATTCCTTACCCCACACACGGCTGCCTGCATCATGGCGTCCAGACTACCTTCTGGAGAGTCCAAGTTCCCAGAAATGAACTCCTCTGTTACTTTTGTCTTGAACTTTTCTTCTTCTGACGTCATACTAAGCACATGTCTGTAGCCAAAGGCAGCCTGGCACTGTTGGTCATTCTCATCACACGGCTTCAGCAGTTTCTCCTTGTTGGTGTTAGTGAAAGGAAGAACTGTCTTATCAACAAACGCACCAAATCCTGTAGTTAAAGAAAGGGCAATTGGTTTGTAATCTTTTTTTCCTTTTCATTAACTGAAATAAAAGGCAAAGCCAGGGGTGATTTACTTGTTTCTCAAGATGTTTGAATGGTGAAATGCAGTGATATTTGTGTAGACCTATAAACACGTTATACACAGTGGCAGTTCTATACCAATTTTACGAGGGTGTTACCAAATAATAGACAATTGTATTTTTTATGATTTGAATTGTCGGATTAACATTTGAATCTTATTACCTATTTGAGCAGAATTAGTGATACTCTTCAGAGCTGCAAAAAGATCTTTTCCCAGTTCTTTGACATTTGCCAAGTCATCTTTCATGGAGTAAGACAGGTCCATCAGGTAGTAGAGATCAACAGGATAACCCTGAACTCTTTTGAAAGAAACCCTGAATGTCGTAGGAAGCCCTGTAAAAACAAAAAATAAACACACAAACAGAAAAGAAAGAAAACTGCTCAAGCATATTTGACGTTTAGTGCCCGTAGTTTTTACAATTCCTCAAATCAAATGTGATGATAGTGGTTATTTAAGAAAAACAATTTGACCAGCCAACACAGGCAACAAATCACTGTAGTTCCTTTCCGTTCACAAATGACCGCATCAACTGATTCCACTCACCAGGTCGCAGTCTCAAACTAATCTTCTGTGGTGTCAGCTGAACAGGCTGTTTCAGCTGTTTGTCGAATGACACAGACAGACGGTCTGCCTTCACAATGACTAGAGTGTTCTCCGGGGAGATGATTTCTTCCCTCTTGCAGCCTCTCTTCATCAACAGAGCTTTGGTGTCACAGCGCACCGCTTCCTGCTCACCTGCTTTTGTAAAATTCTGTACGAAGAGGATGAAAAACACACAAAATATATATTATGTTCACTCATCTGTGTCTGCCTATTATGTTGTTTATATTACTTCTTGCATATGGTTTTAGCAAACTATAGTCTACTCATGCTTGGGGACTGACATAATAAATAGAACCGCAGTAAGTCTTTCGAAGGCTACTTTTAAGATCACTATAATTGAGAGTTGAGCAAATTTGTAATGATCTAAAATGCCAGATACCAGTTTTTTGAGGTACCTCTTTAGTTTTGGAAAAAGAGGTTAGGGTCCAAAGTTTTCTTTATTTTCAATCAGCAAAGTAGGTCTACCTAAACATTACATTGGAAAAGAAGGGAACTTTTCAGTAATAGTTTAAACATGTCATCTTATTTGTTGCAGGCGCTATATAGTATTTCTAAGCACAATTAACATGACCGATGGGATAAAGGTGTCTGGTTGGAATGTACAACCCTGTCTCCTATAATTTTTAGGAGATAGGGTTGGAATGTAAGGGGGGTTGAAAACTATGTGAAAATGAAACATATTCAAAATTATTCGATACAACATAATATTGACATAGCCTTTCTGCAGGAGACACATCTGACAGACACAGAGCATGTTAAACTAACACAAGGAAATTATAGCCAGATATTCTTTTCATCATATGAGTTTCTCTTAGTTGGCTCCTTTCTATGGACGAGAGCTCTAGTTAGATTCAGGGTCCATATTTGTTTAGTCTCACTTATGAAGAATGTTGATTATTACACTAGATAAACCCTCGAGCTGCAGAAGAGTTCTTCAGAATTGGTTTGGCAACCGCTGTGTCAACTCGTGACACACCGCCTGTCTTGTCAACTCTCCGGCCGTAACTCCAATTAAACCACCAGTGTTTGACATCAAAGCTCCAACTCTCCTCGTGTCTCTCTGAGTCCTGACTCTCCATTGCTACAGAAGTTTCCCTTACAACGTATATGAAATGTAGGCTCGCTGGTCTCATCATACAACGGCAATGAGAAAGCACCAGAGGAGCAGCCATAACCTCTGCCGCACTGAAGGGGCGCACGTGAGCCCACAGGTTCTTGTTGCTACTGTTATTCTACGCTGAGACGGTAGACGCAAACAACAAACTAGACTTTTGAAACAAGAGGAAGATAAGGAGGACTTTACCAAAAAAGTAATAGAGATTGTTGTCCAGAAGGAGAGCATGGACTTCATCTTCAAGTCAAGGTAAGACCACAATTGTAATGAAAATGGGATCTTACTAAGAAAGACCAATCCAATATTTAGATTTTGGGTAACCTTTTGTCTTGGACATAACAGAATATTTCGATTACGGTCAAAATATAATATTTGTAAATCTGACTCTGAAAGAGTCATTGCCTCCCCAGCCATGAACCTCACCGCACGTCACTGCATCCTAGGTAAACTCTGTCACCAACAACACTTTTGGAAGACTTGTGATAGTATAAGAGCTTTTACAATCTGATCCCATGACACTGGTTAATGCATACGGTACAAATACCCAATATTTATAATCCCCAATTATTTGAGAAATTATTCTTAAATCTATCGGACCCTCACATGGGAGGAGATTTCAAT